TGAGGTACAGGATCTCAGGATAAATCCTGAGGGGATTTCACTGACCTTATCAGACCCAAAAGCTACAACTCTTATTGCATAGGTGTTGCTTTATTTTGGTCTTAACTATCCAGCAGAAAAGTGTAAAAACGAAATATATAAGAAGTAAAGGCATGCCATTATGTTGGGCTGTAGGGGACTCAGGTCAACAATTTCTGACATTGCCAGTGAAGCAGAAGACCCAATACTATTATGGATTACTGGACTCTTTTAGAATATTTTGCTGAGTTAACACCCCTATAATATTCAAATAATGGAACTTAACAAAAAAAGGGGATACAGATGAATGTCCACTTTGTATCTATGTATTTAAAATGTTTAGAATAGATATATAGTTACATTCTCGAAATGAATAGAGGGATTTGTTCTAATGGTGTTTGTAGATAGGATATCATGTCCGCATCTTGTACAGCAATTAACCACTGGGAGGAATGTATGCAATGTATTTATTATTGAAACTGTCCTACCACTTTGATTTGAAACTGTCTCATTGCTATTTGTTTCTTAATAAAATTATGGGGGGTGGAAAGAAAAACTTTCTCTAGCAACTGTTCAGTTAGACTAATACCACCCTCTTTATCTTTCTGATTATGGTTTCAAAGTGACTTATGTAACCTTCTTTATTTTAACTTAAAAAACCCCAACTCTTATCTTCCTTTGCTCTCTTGGATAGGCTCATGGTCTGTCATAGTGTTATAAGATGGGAACCGAGGAAGTCTCTCAAGAAAGAGATGGGGATTTCAACTCATTTCTCCCCATATGGTAGGTTAGAGGTTTTTTCACACAAGGCATAGAAAAAAATTGTAGGATGTATCAGTGAGAGGCATACACAGGTCTTAGCAGGCAGAGTTACAGAAGTACAAACTCAGAGAAAATAAAGTGTGGTTAAGGGAGAGATGGAAGGATGGAGAGAGCAAGGGGTGAGTATTATGGTCTGACACATGGATATTTGTGGTCTTGGAGGATGTCCTCAAGACTATTCTTGTTTTAGTTTACCTGTTTTAGTGAGGTAGTTTTCTTTTTGTTTGTTGGTTTTTGGGACAGTGTCTCACTATGTAGTTGAGGCTGGGCTTGAACTCAGTATGTAGCTCAGGCTGGTCTCAAGCTTGCGATGATTCACTGGCCACAGCTTTCCACATCTAGCTGGAGCTAGGTTTCAAAAAGCCATTTACATGTTTTTGAATTTCAGATATGTTACCAATTTAACTGTGAATCTGTAAGATGGGAGGAAAAGCAGACTTAATTCACAGGTGAAATGCTTGGGCCTGATTTACAGGCTTATTGTGACTTTAAGGCCCTTAGGATTTTGAGGGACTGTGGGGGTGGGGGTGGTCCTGGAAGGGAAAACGGCATTGAAATCTGGGTAACTTTGTGTCCTGAAGCTGCAGTTTTCTTAAAACTTCCACTTTAAAATTAAGATTTTCCTTTTTGCCTTCCTAGCCATCTCAGTAGCATATACATACCAGATTTGCATAAATATGTATAAAATGGTATAAAAGAGAGCAATAGGTTTGGCCAGGAGAATAGGGAATAAACTTTGCATGGAAAAGTTTATCAGGGTCTAAAATAACTTCACAAGTCTTCTAAGTTAACAGTATTTGTAGCACTGCAGAGATTTGGGGCTGAAGCCTAATTTTTAAGTTTGTGACACAAAGGACTGATCATGCGATGCTGTGATAGGCATAGCCCCTGGTCTAGCCAAGATCAGCAGCAAAAAAACTCTTTCAGTTAATCACCTTTCTGGTAAATTGTATCGGATCTGGCTTGAGGAATTTTTAAAGGGCGGGAGTACAAGGGTTTCAAGACAGAACCTCGGTCCAGACTGATGAGGAGCCCTTAGGACTCCTCCCCAAAAGGTCAGGAAGAACATGAGGCAGTCGCACTGGTGGATAAAAGAACGGACCGCTTGGAGGGGCAACCTGTTCTGGATATGGTCACCCAAAATGTATAAAAATCTTATACAGTAAAGGGCCGGCGACACGGCGACTGAGACTGGGCGTGGCACCGCTCGCCCGTAATCCCAGCGCCCGGTGGCGGAGCCGGCAAGGCAAGGCACTGCACGCCAGGGAGTGGGACTATCGAATCCCGGTCCCTAAGCCTACAGGCCCTTTAGTCCGGTGAACTATCTGGCCGGCCCAAAGACACTTTTTTTAAGTATTTAGTACAGGGCCTAGAGGGTAGCCTGTAGCTACAGCGTCAGCAGCTGGAAAACGAAAGCGGGGGGGGGGGGGGGGAGGCGGCACCAGGTGATGACGCAACACGGGTCGCTCCCAGGTGACGCTTGGCGTAGACAACGTCTGGTTGCGCCTGTCATCTCCCTCCGCTCCTCTCCAGGTTGGTGCTGAGGAGTTGTAGGCGCCATGGCGGTTCTGCTGGAGACCACTTTGGGCGACGTTGTCATCGACTTGTACACAGAGGAGCGGCCACGAGGTGAAGCCTGCGCCCCTTTCAGCCTGGGCTGCGCTGCTCGCCCGCTTCTCTGCGCAGTCCTCCGCGGCGTTGGGTGGAGCTTCAGTGCCCTCCACCCGGCGGTCTTTACTGGGCCGTGGTTAGGAAAGTTTTTGTGAGATTTCGTTCATGAGCTGTCCTTCTCTCATATATTGCGTTGCCCAGTCCGATGGAGGGCAGAGTACTCATTAATTGTTTTTAGGGTATGTGAGTGCGGGGGGGGATGTATATTGCGGTACCACCAATGGCTTTTGCGGTTTTGCTGTACTTTATTTGTGGGGGCCACGTCAAATCCAATCCGGTATTTAATTAAGTCTTGAAGAAAGCCGCTAAGATGTGCATGACTTAGCGAATGTGGACATCGCATCTCGCCTAGAGGAGGAAGATGTCCGCAGGTGTAGACAGACCCAGGAGAGCACGGAGTTAAGCCCTATTTAAGGCGTCTTGTCCTTGAGGTCTTGCTTTCCACTGTATTAGAGGTCGAAGAGGGAGCCTGTTTTAGCTTTGTAAGTTTTGTAGAAGATTGTATGAGATGCTATGGAAACGAGAGAAGGGAAGCAACCAGACTGTAGAACCTTTGAGCTAGCTCTTTCAAAGATTACTGGGAACAAGTGTTTTCTTAGCAGTTTGTTTGCTTGACATATTGTGGGAACACCAAGTGGTGTGGCTGGACGGAATGGTACGTGATAAGTAAGGTTCTGAATATCTTTGCTCTGCACATGACTAGTCTTTCAACTCTCTCCCTTTGAGAGTTAGATCTGCTCTCAGGTTGTTTCAGTAAATCACATGAGACTTACTTTATTATAAAATTTACCTTATGTACTGTAATTAAGTTTCCCCATGACCATCTCCATTTTATGGCCGTTGTCAACAAAAACCAAGCAGGCAAGCTGCCTGCCTCCCTCCCTACCCCTTACTCTATTCCCCTCCTTCCTCCCTCCCCATGCTTGTGCAGGGAATTGAACCCAGGCACTCTGTATTGGATTGCTAACTGGTCGTCAAATTGTTACACTAAGCTGAGTTGAACTAGCTGGGTGTGGGAGGCCTACCCGAGGATTGTTGCCAGCAGCGTAAGAGGCAGAACTGGAGAAGCTGTTTGGAGAAGCTGTTGGAAGCTGCTGGTTCTCTTGGCTATTCTTTTGGTCCTTGTCATGCTGGCTTTTCTGGTGAATTTGGCTGTTTTGTTGGAGGAGGATCTCGGGATCTCATTGTTGCTGAGAATGGCTGCAGTTCATTTTGGAGAAGCTCTGGTCCTCATCTTGAGCATTCCTTCCTGGCTCTGGAGAGATAGATGGTACACTGCTCAGCCTCCTGGAGAAGCTTGTCATTTTGGCTTTCCTGATGGGGACTAAGCTTTTCTATTTCTGTTCTACTTTCAATATTTCTTCACTGGCTTGTTCATTAAGTCTGTCTATTTCATTTTGTACTTCATCGATGTGTTCAATTGCTTCTTGTTGCTCTTTTTCTGAGGTCTCGTCGGCCCCGTCGTGGTTGGAGTTGAGCTCCTTTTTACTGACTTTGGCCGCCGGCGCCGACATGGTGCTGCTCTGCGGTCGGGGAAGCGCGGAGGGGGAGACAAGGGAAGGCGAAGGGGGCAGGCGGCTTCCCTCACGCCACACGCGCGGGCGCCCACTCGGTCCGGCCGCCTCCTCCCGGCAGGAACTAAGCTTTTCTCATCCTTGGAGGAGCTCTGGACCTCACTGTTGCTGAAGATGATACTTTTTGGGGGAGCTCTGGTTCTTTAGTGTTGTTTCCTGGCTCCAGTACAGGTCGCTCAGCTTGTTGGCCCAGATCCTTCATCCTGCTGAAATAGATTTTTCTAGATTCCACCACTGACCTTTGGGTCTTTCTAGCGCAGATCCATGAAACAGGCCTGTGTGAGACATTGTCATGGGCTCTAGTCCTTCAATAGGACTTGTGGGATACATTGTTATGAGCTCTAGGTCTTCAGATGGACTCATGCAAGATATGAGGATACAGGCCCTCAGCTGGATTCTTCCATCTTTAGTGTGTGGACAGATTTCCTGAACTCTTTGTATATGATTCTTTGGGTGATTCATTATAAAATTTCTGTATAGAATGTGTCCTATATTGTATTATTCCCCTTGCAAAAACTCCAAACCACAACATGCTCTCAGGCATGCTAGGTAGCTAGTTAGACACTTTACCACTGAGTTACATCCCTCACTTCTAGCCTCATGTATACACTTTCACCACTACTGGATTTACTTAATGTGAAATTAGTTTATTATGTTGCTATAAAAATAATGATGATGATTTAGGGGCTGGGGAGACGGCTCAGTAGAATAAGCGCTTCCCTGGCAAGCGCAAGGGCCTGAGTTCAGTCCCTGGTTCCACACACACACACACACACACAAAAGATTTAAAAAAACTAGAAATACAAGTCATTGTTACATCTTAGAAAATTAACTGTAATTTCTTAGTATCAATCTTTCCTGTTACCTCAAAAACACTTAAAAGTTGGTAATTTAAATTAAGATCTCATCAAGATCTATATATTAGTTGATATATCTTTTAAATACACACACACACACACACACACACATATATATATATATATATATTTTTTTTTTTTTTTAATTTCCTCTTTTTTCTGAGACAGGGTCTTGCTATGCAGATTGGGCTGACCTTGAATCACTGTGAACCCTAGGCTTGCCTTGAGCTTATGACAATCTTCCTGCCTCAGCCTCCCAAGTGCTGAGATCACAGGGGTGTGTCATCATGCCTTACCACTTAAATTTTTTTTGAGGGGGACCTGAGATTTGGGATTGGTGATGGCAGTGCCACTCATCTGGCAGGTAAAATGTTTGTGAATTAAGTGAATAAATTTATATGAGAAGCCTATTTACAGTAAATACAGTTTTCTGCTGGGCGTTGTGGTGCTTACTTGTAATCTTAGCACTCAGGGAGGTTGAGGAAAGAAAATCAAAATTTCAAATCCTACCTGGGTAAGTTAGTAACTCAGAGAGCTCAAAATAAAAAATTAAAAAAGGGTGGATGGAATATAATTCAGTGCTTTAAAGCCCTTGGGTTCAATCCCCAGGAACCCCCTAACCCCATGGATTTTTGTAATGTATTTTTTAATCATTGTAAAAATAGTCCCTAGAGATTTGATTTTTCTCTAATTTATACAATGTATATTTATTTTCATATATTCTGCTACATCTCTCCCATCATAGTGCCCTTTTTATTTTTTTAAAAAAAATTTTTAATTAAAACAATTTTTTTGGTACCTGGGATTGAACTCAGGCTTCTGCGCTTGCTAGGCAGGTGCTCATGCTGCTGAGCTATCTCCCTGGCCCAGTGCCCTATTGTTTGCTTTTCTCTTAATAAGTCCGAGCCATCAAATAGTTGCTTATCTTATGAGGATAAATACCAATTTCTTGCACTAACTCAGATGCCCAGAAAGTCCTAAGATAAAGAAATAAACAGATAATTTAAAATGTTGCCTTTTTAAAGGCTTATTCCTTTATTTTATTTATTTTTTGAGTCAGGGTCGTACTGTGTAGTTTAGACTGGCCTTGAACTTGTGGCAATCCTGCCTCGCCTCAGCCTCACCAGAGTGCTGGGATTACAGGTGTGTGCCACTATGCCTGGCTTTTCCTCCCTGTTTTTAATAGCTTTACATGTTTGACTATTTCTTGCTTCTTTTAATGATTTAGAGATTAAATTATACTAATTGTGCTTTTGATTGTTTAAAATTGAATTTGTGCATTACTATGATAAATTTAGTGTTTATTTCTTTCAGCTTGCCTGAATTTCCTGAAGTTGTGCAAACTAAAGTATTATAATTATTGTCTTATTCACAATGTCCAGGTGAGTTGGTAGATATTAGTTATGTCCTTTGATTTTAGAACCATCTAGCAAATTCTTTGAATTAATAAAGAATGCTATATATTTTATAGAGGGATTTTATCATACAAACTGGTGATCCTACAGGAACTGGCCGTGGAGGAGAGTCAGTTTTTGGGTAAGTTCTTTGCTCATGCTAGTGCAGCATGAACAGGGGATCAAAATGTGGGCTTGCTCTTGCCTAAGCTTGCCTAAGCAGGTGCTTTAGACCACTGAGCTATCTTGCTGGTCCAGTTCCTTTTTTTTAAATTTTAATTTTTTTAATAGATTGCAAATTGAAAATAAATTATTTACAAACATAACTGAATATAACAATAAAAAGTGTCCAAAATAAAAATGAAAATGAAGAAAGAATTTACAGATCAGTCATAATAGTTCACTGTGTCAAAACCAAGAAACTTATATTCATATAACCAGAATTCTCAAAGTAGAAAGGAGTATGCAATAAGTATTTAAAGATTTAAAATTTCTGAATTTAGTTCAACTTATAATACCACAATTACAAGAAAAATGAACCTTTTGCACAAGAAATTTAAATAAAATCATACCAAGATGCACAAAAATGAAATTGTTCAAAACTTATTGTAAAGAAAAAAATCATTAAAGCATATACATAAAAAATATTAGCTATG